AACGGGTTACAACGTTCCAGTTTCACCTTGGTAATAGGTTTCAAAATGCGGTTTCAAAAGGAACATGTTACTTTTTAAATTTTTCATTAAAAATGCAGAATGATGATGATCTGAACAACTATGGTTCCTGGAGAACTGGTTTCTGTTTTATGAGACGGTTCCAAAAAAAACCGGTTACATCGGCTAGCTGTAACTACGGCTTCAGGTTACACGTTTGGAACACTGTTATTTTAGCGGTTACGTTAAATACCGACCATCTCTAGAACGGGGAGTTTAAGTAGAATCCGTCATATCGGGTAGGTCAGACAGAAAAAAGCATACTTCATACACACATTACAGAATTTCAATCTTTAATCGTCTGTTTACCTTGAGCCGTTCGAGAAGTAATAATTTTTTTATGACCTGTCACATTTTCCGCAGGAAATTTATTAAATTCTTAAGTACAAGTGTGCAAGCGCAAGCTTAAAGCTGTCAACTTCGATTTATTATATTTTGTAGGCAAGTAACTCCATAAAAAAAAAACAAAACAGAAAACAATTTCTTAAAGCGTGAGCACAAGAATACCTTATGGTGCGTCTAGACCTTGTGGCAAAACACCGACAGAAAATGGATCGTCTGTCGGTGTTTTGAGGAAAGATCAAAGAAACTTTTAAGCTATGCGTTAAATTTACGACGCACTGTACATTAAACTCTTCAGATCTCAAATAATCGAAAACTTATACAATTTCAACGATTTTTGAATGCCTATTAAGCACTCTACAGATGCACACAGTGAGCCCCTAAAACCACAAACTAAGCAATAATCCCAAAAAACAAACATCAAAACTCTTTTTTGGCCTCCCATACCAGTCAGAAGTTTTCATATTTTCTCTGCCGAAAAATTCCCGACACTCCAAACCTAAGCCCTGTTTGTTGACGAAGAAAACCCGTATCCAAACGCGCCAGGGAACCGCATTGTTTCGCAAAAAATATCGCTCTATAAAACATACACCGTGGCTATATTAAATTCTTCAAAGCCCTTTCTAAACGGCGCGAGGTATAAAAGAGATAATATACGTCTTTCTCTGGTTTCTTTATGCGAGTGGCTGCCAAGAAGACTTAGTGGAGTCGTTTTTTTCTCCGTCCCCAGCAGTCTAGATTGCATATTTGGGGGCAATTATTTTTTATGTGCAAGCGCGCCATTTCCGAGTATTAAGCCATCAACGGGGTAAACTTGAATAAAACAACCATTTAATCGTCATCCCTTAAACGTCGTGGTGCGAGGAACAAATGAAGCTCAGCAACAAAGGGCTGTCGATTGGCGAATAAGGTGTAAGGATCATTAGAGGGACTAATGGCGGAAAATCGTCTCAATTTTAGTGCGAGCGACGCTTCAACGTTAAGGAACATCTCTGTTTGCGGAATAAAACATAGTTGGCCGAGTTCTATAAGCAAAAACAGGAGAAAGCAGCAGGTGTTGCTACAAAAGATAAGTGGCGAAAATGGTGCTGATGGACCGTCGTCTTTTTGTTTAACTGGGGAAGTTGGGGGAAGTCCGGAAAAGGCACATGTTTACCAAGCTTCTTTTCGACCAGAGAGTGACTTTAAGTGGAATTTTTCACATAACTAAAGCAAAAATAATACCATGAAGTATTAGTATCCAAAGTGATTCACATGCAACAGCATTGACAGAAAATCGAGAAAACAGTTCACGATGGCACTTGGAAAACCGCTTATTTTTTACAACTTTTCCGCATAAAACAAACATAATGAAGCATGGGCCAACCATATAATCTGGAGTACCGAAGCCTCAGTCATGAACTTGATCTTTTAAGCCAATATGCAAAACACGTCACATAATTCACAGGCCGTTCTACCATTCAAGCAAGCAGTTTTATTAAATGCAGCAATATTTATGATGCCTTCAACGGCCAAAGCCGTTCTGGAAGTTGCCTGTTTTTTCCACATTTTATTTATGACTTTAAACTCCTATGTAGATTAGGCGTTTCTATTGCACCCTCGAGAAGTGAAATAATGTCACGAACTGGTAGAGAAACGTCTAAACGACCCTCCTCCGGTTGTAAAGTTTTGATTGTGTTAACTGGAACAAACACTCGACATCCAGCACTGTCTGTTGTTGACGTTCGGCTAAATTATTTCTGGGATTAGTTTCTTTTTTGCCCTCATTCCCCACGGAGCTGACGCGATCCGGAATTGGGCCGAAAATTACTTTTTATATTACCGAGTTGTATAAATTCGTTATGGATTATGGGCCAAACTTTTCCTCTTTCGCGGCAAACTGTCCCAGGCTCAGCTAATTTTCATAAATGCGACTGACGAAAACGAAAATTGAACGTTAATTGCTGAGAGCACTGGGATTCATACACTTCCAAGTGGCGTTTGCTTTGAAATTAGTGCTTCCATTTAAATTATTACAGTTCAATGTACCCGAGTGATTGTACTAACGTGATTACTTTGTAGATTGAACTCAAACGCCTTGCAGCCAAACCATCTATTAAGAGACCATCCTGCACGTTTACCAGAAATAAGTTTGATTTTCTTTATAGAATGCTCATTGAATATTGTCTTCACCGGGGCCTCTTAAGGGTATTTTTATTTCGGCAAATATATGAGTGCAACAAGGCAGAATAACGCAGCCGTGTGGTAGAACGAGGTCGAAAATTGCCCTAAAGTGGGCGGGACTACGTCTTACTGGCCGCAAATAAATTTTCAGCAATTATAAAGTCACTTGGAATTTCAAACAACCAGCCTTAAGCGGCAAGTAACAAAAACCCTCTGCTGGCTTCTAACAAATTTCGATAAATTTTAAAAACATAGATACTTACTTAGTAAAACCAGACATTAAGAAACTTGTGAAAACAGAACAGGAAACAGAAGAAAACATGTAAAACCCATACAATAAGGACGCAGAACTAAACAGTTGAAATATGTTGGTCATGAATCATTCTAACTAATTCTTCGAATATAGAGGATGTTTTACGACAGTGACCTTTAAGCACTTGAATGCGCATTTCGAAGCCATGCTCTTAGTCTTACAGGCAAGCAAATGCATCTCGATTGCGAATAGATTTGAATCACTTAAAGCCAGGCTCCGTTATGCAGTTGCAAAATGAACAGCTCATTATATCACATTTGCTGCTTCACCAGATCGATGTTGATCATTTGCATAGCCTAGTTTTGCAAACCCATAATTTGTCTATGGCTACTGCAAGTAACCGGGCAATTTTGCCGCATTTCACTTCTTAACATGTGCAGTTGCATTAAATCTGCCCGATTGATAGAAATTTCAAGAATTCCACTACAAGTTAATCACTTAAACAGGGTACATGGAAGGTATTTTGCAATCTTTTGGTTGTTTATTCAAAGACGCAGAATTAAGATTTTATCTACTATAAGTAGAGTACGTTCCAAAGATTCATTCACTTCAAACTTTTTCTTGGTCCAACGGCCAAAAGTACGTTTGTTCATTCTCATATTCTGACCAAATGAATCATACTTTAGGTACAATATGAGAACGCGAAAGAACAACACCATGTTTCGAAAAGGTTCGTGTTTCTACTAAGAATTCGTTCATGAAACTCTGAAAATTGAAACATATTTTGGAATCGGCATGTTGTGCTGTGCATGAAAAAAATCAAGAAAAAACGGAACCGGAGTCCGAAAGCTTTGGACGCAGAAGCTTTTTCTGAGGACCACAAATAGCCGATCCCCAATATTTTTCACTTTCCAAAGATTGAGATGTTGATGAATTGATAAAACCAAATAAAACCTGAATACGCAAAATGAATAAAGCAACGTAGATATTCAGAATCCCACCTTTCGTGAATAATCGCACGATAGAAAAACGCTGAAGATGACACAGACCAGTATCGCAATGTCGGCTGCATAAAGCGAATGTTTGACGATAAATCCTTTGTGAATCATTCACTGATTAAAACATCAATCGCGCAAAATGAGTTCAGATTGACACAGTTTTTGTTGTATTTAACGCAACGAAAATCTTGGTCTTTGTAACACAACTTTTCTTCTTTAACTTGTTGATTTTATTTCTTATGCGAGTGTTGGCAGTTTCTGTGAATTTTTCCAAGTGTTGATTTCAATTTTGGGTGATCGAGTCGTTTGAGCTCTTCCGACTTTTTTGTTTTTTCTTGTTATTCTTTAAAGACGTTTAAATTAAGCGGTTCCAGTGAAAAAAATTCCTGGATGGTGCATAAATTAAACCAAAAAAGACTCACAAACACCCTCTGAATTTCGAGCGGTTTTGCCAAACTGCGCAAAATGTTCAAGGCGCAATGGTTTCCTTGAATATCTAGCGTTTAGATTCATTCAATTTGAGGCGGTTTAGACTATTTAGGTCTTTTCAGGTTATAAATTTTTGCTATTTGTGTATTTTTTTAGTTTCATTGACAAAATCACTTCAACTATGTTAACACAAACAAACTAACTCAAAATGAACCGAAAATACGTGGCAGCACCGCAGAGTTCCCGAAAGAGACAAATAATCGGCCATCTGACTATCGACGCGCTAAATAACCTCAATCAATAGGCGACGCTAGAAAAGATGCCCAAACTTTTGTAGAAAACACAATCATTATGCATCTTAGCGACAATTTTGCATGAAGTGTTATGAATAATTGTTCGCACCAAATCGCAGCGGACAATCTCAAAAGTTTGAATTCAGTCTAGTAAGACTTCCGCATGTTTTTCTTCATCATTTGACTGAAGGTTTACCATTGCGAAATTAACATCCTTTAACCTCACAGTTAAGTCCAAGAACTGCACAATTGAGACAAATTAATAAGGAAACTGAAGATAAAAATATAGTAAGAATCAAATAAAAGAAAAAATAGGAATAGCAGAAACCGAGCTAGAACAATAATATCTGATTCAACAATAATTAATCCTTTCAAATCAAAAAGGTTCCAAGCAATCTCGGACATGAATAAATTTCAATATGGCGTCTGAAATAATGACGTCACTGACAAAAGCTTGGGACAGTTTAGAATTGCTAAATATAATGCAGTCACAGAAAGCCATTCATAGATGCATGCCCGGCTATTCAATAACTGCATTAAAATAGCCCATGTTGTCAGTATACGAATAGCAGAAAAATGCCAGAAAATACTTTTTTCTCAGAAATGTAGCTTCTGACAACACTGCTAACATAACCTACTACTGATACTCAAACTAGCTACTGATGTGACACAAAAGTCAACTTTCAAACGCACGTCAACGTAGAAATGTCATGAGAGACTATCAAACTGACACCTGTCATACCTGCCAATAAAGAAATTGCAAAAATTTCCGGCAAAACCGCCTACCTTTTGAAGGTGGCTGACGAACCATAAATGCTTCTACTTCTACGCTCCTGCTGTTTTCCACTGCTGCCGTCCAAAGCGGAGTTGGCAAGAGTCAAAAATTCACTATCCAACGCACTAACCGGCACCTCAAACTTATTAAACGGCGTAATTTCCTTATTGAACGCGTCCAAAATTTGTTTAGCTTCCACGTCCGGTGTTATTGGATCTCTGGGTTCGTGCTGGGGAGTTTTCCCCGTCGAAACCGGTGAATTTCGGGAGGGTTTTTGCGCAAGAGCCCAACAGGCTCCAAATGGTCTGGGAGGAACCTTGGGCGGTACTGCTGGCGTGAACTTCGCCGGTTCCTTTGCAGAACCGAGAACAGCCTGACTAGATCTCGGACTGGGTCTTTGGTAGTCCTGCGCTGGGATGTTTCGACTGATTCGCTTATCGGCATCATCCTGTCTTCTGGTCAATCGAGCCCTTGGAATGAACTGCGGGATTTCAACGGGCGTGGAGGCGCTCAGATCGTAGCTGGTGCGACTCACAGTCTGACTGTCGATGATCAGCCTCAGATTTACCTCAAAATTGCTAGCGTTCCTTCTAGGAATCAGAGGGCTGTTGGAGGGCCGGTCCAGGTTGCTGAAGAAGCTGAGCGCATTTTTAAAACTGGAGGGACTCGGAGGAATATCGCCCATTTCAATTATTCAGTGGTGCGGGTAACGGCACGCGTGAAACTCGGCGGTAAATTGCGATCGCAGTTGCAGTAGAAGCTTTGTTTATGTTACTTGTTTACCTGCAACAGAAAATATTTCTATTAAAGAAAGCTGGTTGTTCGTTTATCGATGTGGTTTTTAAGCGCAGATTTGCTGGTGTGCGTTCAAGATGGTAAATTCACAGCTTTCTTCAGCCTTTTACGAAACGGAATCGAATAGGATTCGGCGCTTTAAACGATCCAGAACTTTCAGTTTTCCAAGGTCAATCCGATCCTGAAAGGGTTTATATAGCCAGAAATATTTACGCAAAATTGTCCCTAATGTGAATTCGGCACCGAGAAATTGCCAATTCTTTTGGACGGAGTGGAATGTCTGTTTCACGGGCAAAGAAACATTCAATAGAGAATATGTGAATTCAAATTGATAAAATTAGGGAAAACGCTCTTAGTTGCAACTACTCCTTCATGAATTTCATTTTGATGTGACGGACCATCAAAGTGATTAAACGTAGAAAATTGTATGAAAATTACTGGCTTATGGCTTCAAAATGTCTTTGAAAGCGGAAATAAGTAGCTCTCTATTATCCTCCAAATCCTCACATTTATAGCCAAAAATGTAGCGAATAAAATTCTTAGGTGGTGCTTCGCCGCAATACTAACCTTGAATAGAAACCCAATTATATCTCAATTTATTAAAATGCATGTAGAAAGTTGTAACAATTACACGCTTTAATCGGCTGGTGATTAAGACTCCAACATGCGCCAGCGCCCCGATTGCCTGTTGCGTTGAAGAAAGTGAGAGTGAAAACGCCAAAAGCCCCAACAAATCAATGATCAAATGCAGGCGAGAATAGTCTACTAAAACCGATAAAAGTGCTTGTTTCACACCAAAATATGAACCAGTTCCAGCCTCCACTCGTGACTAATACTCACTTCTCCTACTTCTAGGGAAAACACCGCAATGACAATGTTTGAAACCAATTGAAAACACTCGAGAGCGACACTTTTGGTTTCGATTCAAACCGGTCTTGACCGATGCACTTTACGAAAATTATTCGACGAAACGGCTGACCGCAACTTGCCGAGAGTCCACATAAACTGAACCCTAACAGGATTTAAATGATTCACTTAACGACGATAGTTTGAACATTATCATTATCAATTACTTAGATGTGTCTTGGCACGCACCACCACCTAGAATGAGCACGATTTTACTCAAACACTGTCTCTTTTTTTTCCTTCAGATTTCAATTATGCCCATGTTATCGCTTTCATGATAATAGACGACACGCCATTAACGCATCCACATTGTTGCGCTTTCATAACTTTGAAATGCTTCATTGACTCAATCGGGTTTAAACGATAAAATGTACAAACAAAACAAACAGTCATTGTTCGTTAAGTGCGTGTGACAATGTTGGTAGTTTATATGCGCCAGTCCAAGCAGAGACGAATTTCCAAATTGTTAATCAGCTTTTCTAGGGAAACCACTTGCAACAAACAACTTTTTTTGGAAAAATCAGGCAAAAAAAGCTGTGAAATAGTCAATTTTGCTGGCCCAGATTGGAACTTTCAATTTTATGAATCATTTTCTAGAATATTATAGAGAATAGTATAAATGAGGGGCTGAAAAAGGCGATTGCGAGTTCTTTCGAACGAGGAGCCACAGAAAAACCAAGTTAAAAGAAGAGGAAGTCTTCGAAAGAAGTCATTCACTTTGAAACATTTCAGTATGATTTCCTGGTATTTCCGGATTCACAGCAAACATGCGATTTTAATTAGAAACTGTGGTTTAACAATGTTAAACACAAAACCGTTATGAAATTAAGGATACCTACAACACGCTGTAATTTTCATCCTTATTTTTAAACAAACAGCAGTTAAACCGCATTTTTGACAAGTCTGACAACATCTGGTTATATGCCAATTATTTGTAGGACATGCTGTATATGTAATATGTGATGGAGTGGAAGATAAATAACCTGTAAATAGTTTAGGGGCAGTTTCGCCAGTAAAACCATTTATTTTATTGCGTGTTAAGTGATACTTATTCAATAGGCTCGGTAGAAGAGAATGGAAAATTCATAAGCAGATGTTTTGCGAAGACAAATATTATTCTTGGTTTTTGCACCAAAACCCATGACGAGCTTCATAAAAAACGATTTTACTAATATATGTCCATCTCAATCCACATAGTTTGATCATGTAATACAAGTAATTTTCTTATGTATTTTATGTAGATTTTAGTAGAACGTGCCTGTTTTGCGTCCACAAGTTACCGCGGAAAAATGCCAACGCAAAAAGAAAGTTTCAAATTTATTAGTTTTCAGATGAAAAATTATGTCTTGTAGTCGGTTTTTAGGTTTAACTAGTTTTAGAAAAATGTTGTAGATACTAGTGAACTTCTAAGATTAGCTTAATTTCTAAACGGAATTTTAATAAAGATAAGGAATTTATTATATATTTAATAATAGAAAAAGTTTTGATTGATTGTCAAGCGCAAATGCTTATTTATAATTGCCTGCCATTCGATGCAATAAATTAGTCGTTCGACAAGTGTATAAAACCCGGTTTTGTCACATTTATTTAACTTTTCGGAAATCCTAAATATTGTCATAAAAATGCCAAAATGTGGGTCACCAGACTTTGGAAATGTTTATTATAAAGTAGCCTTGACAAGTGAGCTTTTAATCATTGGATTATTGAATTTCAAGTACACATTTCCCTATGAAGACTGTCTTATTTATTCGCAATTAATAGTTTGTTCATAGACTTGAAGATAAACTATGTGCGCACATCTTCAATTGTATAATCGATTACGAATTTTCTGTTCATCCAATTCCTGGAGAATCACAGATTGAAACTTGATTGCAAAGCCAAGGCTGGAAAATCCCAGATATTAAACGATCAGGTACATTGAAGCCAATAAAATTGAGCTGCTAAACCGACTAAAAACTGAAAAATATTAACAGTTTTTCTCCTATAAAGAATCGTTGCAGGATTCCAAAACACATTTACCTATAAAACACAGCAACCGCTTTAGGTCCGAATAAATCCAACTTTGTCATCATGCTTGCAATTCGAACATTTAAAATTCACTCACTCAATGACCACTCAGCGTTCAAGAACCATTTAAGGCCATTGTCGAAAGGTACCCGGCGAATTAATAAACGTAAACCGACCGACTGGACCTTGATTGCTTTCAGATGTGTGTGATTGTTTATTATCGGCAAAAGTTTAGAAGAGGAGAGAACACTTGGAAGAAACCGAGACGACAATAGTGTGGCAGTAGATGCGATAAGAGGACCGCAAACTTGCGATAAGAAACAATTTCATGCAAATTCTTTCAGTTCTCACGATACGAGTGTGAATTGAAAAGTGATCAGATTTTATTTGGCCAGTTATTATTTTTAACCATCATTTAAAACACTGAAACATTTAGAAAAATCAGGCATCTTTTTCAACAGGCCTGGTAACAATGCGAATGAATTGGGGGCGTGCGTCGCTGTGAGCAGGAGCGAGTGAACCTTAGCGATTGCCATGGAAACCAATCAGTCCTTGTCCAGCGGAGCCGATATACGAGGGTCAGTGGCAAGTTTGTGGAAAAAACTTTCTTACTTAGACAAAGTCGAATTTTTGCATGTTGTAGAAATTGAACAGTGCTGGTATATGAGTAAATATTAATACCAAGACAGTGTCTGATAAGACAAGGCGATAACTCAAGTTATTTGTTCTCGATCACTTGAATGATGAATTTTGTCTCACTTGGATGGCAATGTACAGAGTGGCAGTGGTAAAACCGGGGAAATTAAAAAAATTGTTGATTTTGAACACTGCGATAATTTTTAAATCATATCTACTGCAGTTGATTCCTTCAAAGTGTCAACCCACTATCACTTTTCAAACACTTACTAAAACTCTGCACATTTCTTTGCCGCCTGCAACCAGGTCATAACAATTCTCCATTTTTCTCACAGATCGATAAAGCCAATTGGCTCACTTAACTCACACAGTTAGACACAACAGAACGCGTTGAGACATGCTAGAATGCGAAACAATCTCAGCAGTGACTTAGATCGACTTGCTCAGCAGGCATTAAAACGGAAGTCGCGGAAAGACTAATCCTGCAGCATGAAAAATGGTGATTTAATAACCGCAATGCATACCTGACCAATCAACCGGTCATTGTCACTTCCGCATTTTTAATCCGCTAGTTGATTCGATTTCGATATGATTGTATGGTGTGGTAACTGATCGACTAGCACCGATTCGATTTTATCAACATTTCGATGAATTGGATTCTGAGCAATGAAACTGTGGACTTTTAAACAGTTTAACTGTTTAATTCTTTCTATGTTTTGCTAAGATTCTATTTTGCCAAAAAATTCCTTCAGATGCTTTAGTTTTCCAGGAATTTTTTCGGCATGCATATTTATTTTTAATCGTTACCTCTCATTGACTTTAGCAGTACAGCAATGAAAGAAAGTTCTGTGCTCAGTTCCTTGAAACGTCTCCATATTTAAAAAATTGAGTCTATCGGATGGGTTTGATTTTGCAAATTTGCCTTGAAACTTTGTGGTCCACCCTGATAAACTTTTCCTATTTCCTTGAACCACCCTGTAGAATTCATTAATTTAATTTGAACCGTTAAAAATCCAAAGTGCTTAGAACAATCTACAAAAATCGATGGAATATTGAACAGATAATTTATGATATGAGTTATTCTAATAAAGCTCGCCTATTTACACGACAGTCTAAAGATAACTGAAAATTTAGTGTGTAAGCTTCCGAAGGCGAGTTAAGTGGCTTTTAGGAAACATGCATTTTTAAAGCAACCCCTTCGCTTAAGCCTTAGTGCGAAATTAATAATTCCACCAGAAATTTTGCAAGGATTCCAAGTACAGTAAAAACACGCAAAGCCGCCCTAAATTTCCCGAATAGTTTGAGGCATTTGCAGGTCCGCAGGAAAAATTCCATGGATTTAAGTCGACGTCTGGTTAAAATGTGGCAAATGTCCTTTGCAGCAGTTCCTCATGCTTATGCAAATAAGACTTCGCGCAATCCCTACAATATAACAGTAATGGCTGAAGACGCTGTCCTGAAGACTCGAGTCGACCGTTAGGCCTGGCTTGGACGTCGTTTTCGATGATTTATTTATTCGATCGATTTCCGGCTTTACGATAGAAGGGACTATTTGAGAAATCGGGGCACAATTTCCTGATTTCGATTTTACTATAGTGACCAGAATGGCTCAATTTCGTTATGAATTTGAAATACATTTGCCCGAGCTGGAGCGATCGTCTGGAAGTTTGTTAGATCCGTCAGCTCACTTTTGAAAATTTGATTAAAATCAGGCCATTTGCTTTTAGTAAGAGCATTTGTAGTTGACAAATTGGTATTTGGACCAACACTTTTGCTTGCTGTTTCTCCTGGTAAAGTGAGCAAAGAACATTTTGCAGCTGCGAGTTCAACAGCGTTTGAAATTTCCGCTATTCGCGCAATTTGCGGCATCAAAATTACCCGAACCGACTGATGAAAGTGCACTGACTAAATATGCGTGCACGCATTTCCGGTTTGTGATATCACTATGTCTATGAATCCGGTTCAAAAATGACAAAATGTTCTGTAAAAGAGTCTTCTGCTGGCAAATGCAAAACAATCGGCAAAGTCCCGACGGTTTTAACCGCTTATCCAATAGCATATTTATTTATTCATTTACCGATGGTCTAAACCATCTCAACGTTCATAGACGAGGAAGGAAAAATGGCTTTAAAGGGCGCATCTTAAGAAGCTTCGATTGTCAAAGCTGCAGACAATGCCGGTAAAATGACTGAGACAGGATTTCTGCAGGCTTTATATTCTTATCCCATTCCGAGCATAAAAGGGCAGCAGTGAATGAAAATCGGGGGGGTGGATTTAAGCAGTCGGTTTTCCATTGTGCCGGACAAAATAATATGCACCAATCTGCAGCGAGTAATGGAAAAACTGCGCTTTGAGCGTTCAGACTGATTCAAATGGGCATTTTTCGCTTAATTATTTCGCTTGTTTGTTTTCGGTTTTCAATCTATTCACGCACATCCCTTTGACATGGATCCCGCCATTAATTTCTGAGAAACAAATTGAATCCCATCCATTTTTTTTCCTTCCGACTTTTGCCGCCCCCCTGTCACAAGCAGCAAACTTGTGCCCTTCAGATGCTTTGGTGGCCTTCCGCTTTCTTTGCGAAACTTTCAAGACCATTCCCGATTTTATTTATTACTCCATCCACCACTGAAACGTTGGCATAAGTTGGCAAAGTTCATCAGTTTAGCCCATTAAGCACCTACATGGGACCACTTTTTTGACTTTCCTAACTAAAGCATTCAAATCGCTTTATTAATTTAAATCGATCCAGATCTAGACTGTTCGTCTAGGTGCTTAACGGGGTTAGCTTATGACAGTTGGGAATTTATTAAATTGAAAGTCATGGACAGAAGCAAAAGAGTGGAAATTCAGATCAGTAAACTCAATCTAAGACAAACAGTAGCTCAACTTGATTATTATTTAAAACTCTATTTTTGTGAAGAGTGCCGGAATTTACGAGAGTTGCAGTCAACGGCCTTTCTGAGGTCAAGCAAAATTTGTTGGCTCGTTTTTTCAAATGTAGCAAAATCAAACCGAGTTGAGGAAGGAAGATAAATTGGCCCACCTTTACTATCCCTTCTCATATTGTACGTCGCAAACAGAAAAGATCTTCTGAGTCAGATCAACCACTTAATCCATTTAAAACGCATTATTGAAAGTGAAACCCCAATAAATAGACAGAGCTCGAATTATCATAATTTATCTTTATGTGTTGAATCATGCAATTAACGATAATTACTTTAAATAAAGTAACCGCCATTAGAACCATTTCAAGCAGCGTGGGCTTAGCGAACTGTTTACATTCATTGGGCTAAAACTATTGCGACCGAAAGAGAAAATGATAAGAATGTAATCATTATCAATTTATAATAAAACAGCTTGGGTGGTCCTCTGGAGAATTATCGTTTTCTTAACGTAGGATTTTCAAATGAACGTAGAATATGTTTAACAGCGATAATACAAATGTTCCAGATGAACCTCAACCTAGCATAAAACTATGTTTCATTTGCATCAATCAGAAAAAAACTGAGAATTTCGTTTAAATAAGCCTAAGCACTTGCAACAAATTTATATGATAAACTTCACTCCAAAACTTGGTTACTTTCGTCCCATTTGATCCATAATTGCCACAAAATTGACATAAAATGCCCACTCCAATGGCAATTAAACTCGAATAGATTATATGTATGTATAAACCAAGCTCGGGCACAAAACCAAGCATTACCAAATATCTAATCATTGGCCATTATCAAGCACGCATCATTATTAATGATTCTGTGTTCTGTACGTCCAACCAGCCAAAGCAGTAGTTATTGAACAATGTTGCTACGAGGTTTGCCGCTTATCCTGATTACATTGGAGTTATGTGGGGCCGCAAATATCCTGGCAATGTTTCCGCTTCCCGGTTTAAGTCACTTTGTGATGTTCCGAGCGCTCCTAAAGGAGCTGGCCCAACGTGGACATAATGTGGATGTGTTCAGTCACTTTCCATTGGAAAAACCTATCAAAGGGTAAGTTTGGCGACATCAAATAAACAATGGAGACCGATTGGGAAATTGCAGCTACCACGACATTGACCTGAGAGGATCGTCCCCATTACTGACCAACAACATGACCTTCGACGTGCTCAGAGACGAAAAAGGCGTGGAATTCGCAAAACTAATGAGCAACGAAGCTGGTTTCAAAATATGTGAGGACAGCTTTAAAGCCACTCAATTGAAGCAACTGAAAACCAGCCGGAAAAAGTACGACCTGCTGTTGACGGAACTGTTCGGCTCGGACTGCATGTTGGGATGGGCGTGGCACTTTAAAGTGCCAACTATTGTCATGACTTCCAGTGCCAACCTGCCATGGGCAGCGGATCGATTTGGCCTTCCAGACAATCCCTCTTATATTCCCACCTACTTTATGGGATCGGTTTCCAAACAGGACTTTTTTGGACGCATGATGAACACCTGGACGTTGATTCGTTCCAAAATGCTGTAAGTAGCCAACCAGGTCCAATATTTTTTAATTTAGTGCTCGACTTTGAGGTGTTTTTTTGCATTTTTTTTTTATTATACATATATTACATTTTTAATTCTACTCCAAATACCTATACCTAAGTCTAACTGTTTTTGAGATATTTGAAATTTTATGTGAAAAATTACAGTGGCAACCACTCGAATAATTATTCATTTTTCCTATAAGGGAATTTGTCATACTTAATTTGAGTCGCATTTATTGTTGAAAAGGACTTACTTTAATGGAATTTCGAAAACATTTTGAAAACTATTGATGCAAAGTGTTAAAAAGTAAGTTTCAAAACACAGTTGAGAAAACCGCCCAAAATCAATTTTTTCAAATGGAAACTCCCATTTTTGATAATTTTGTCAGATTCAGTTTTAAAAATAAGCGTAAGTTTGTGTAACGATGTCTATTCCAAAAGTGTTTAGTTTTCGAAATATTGCCAATTTAATGTTTACAAATGGCTATTTTGCAGCACCTTCTTTTAAATCCTGTCACTCTTAGTTGCCATGACGAAAGTGGTCATTTTTAATACAATCAAATGCCAAAGGAATGCTGACATCTGTCAGTTACCTTATGAAATTAATTAATAATCATGCCCGGGCGCTTAAATTATACAAACGAAGATTACTTAAACTTATTTATTATTTATGGAGAACGTGATAAAGTTATATCAAGAACCGTTTATGTATCATTAATTATTATTATATCAATCACTGATATTAAGACGTATTCAAAATTCTTGAAATGTTCTATAATTTGTTTAACAGCACAGCAAGAAGGCTTCTGTTTTTGTGGATATCGAATGGCAAATGTGTCACATGTTCTTGATACAGCTTTATCACATTCTTCATAAATAATAAATAAGATTAAATAATCTTCGTTTGTATAATTGAAGCGCCCTGGCATGATTATTAATAATTTTCAAAAGATATCTGACAGCTGCCAGCATTCCTTTGGCACTTGATTGCATTAAAAATGGCCACTTTCGTCATGACAACTAAGAGTGACAGGATTTAAAAGAAGATGCTGCAAAACCGCCATATGTAAACATTAAATTGGCAATATTTCGAAAACTAAACACTTTTGGAATAGACATCGTTACACAAACTTACACTTATTTTTAATACTGAATGTGACAAAATTATCAAAAATGGGAGTTTCCATTTGAAAAAATTGATTTTGACAGTTTTTTCAACTGGATTTTGAAAGTTACTTTTTTTTAACACTTTGTATTAATAGTTTTCAAAATGTTTTCGAAATTCCATTAAAGTACGTCCTTTGCAACAATAAACGCGACTCAAATTAAGTATGACAAATTCCCTTATAGGAAAAATGAATAATTATTCGAGTGGCTGCAACTGTCATTTTTTACATAAAATTCCAAATGTTTCAAAAACGGTTAGACTTGGCTACAGGATATTGTATATGAAATATATTTAGAATTTGGAGTAGAATTCAAAAATGTAATAATATATAGGGTGTTCCATTTAAAATAAGCAAGTTGTTACCTACTTCCGGTATAACCGGAAGTTTAGCCATTTTGAAAATATTTTAGACCGCTTGCCCCCAATGACTTTGACACACTGTCCAATTTTCAAATTTCTCCTAATTATAATTTGTCGGATATCGATCGCGCCGGTTCCGGTGGGACACCCTGTATAAGATATTTTAAGACAGAGAACGTTAGATAACGACAAGTAGCTCTCGCAGTTCTCTCTCGCACGCACAGAGCCGCCCGCAAGTTCATTCTGGTGCCATTTGGCCGATCGTCAATTATAATAGTGTGCAGACTGTGGTCGGTTCGTGTAAATATAACAGTGTGTAGTCCGTGCGCCGGAATCTTTTAGATGCGTTTTAGTGCGCATCCAAAGGTGTGCACCTTTTTTCGTTTTAAACTTCTTTCACATCTTGTTAACGAGACACAGAGACACTGTTATTTTGTCAGTTCAACGTTGCTTTTATGCAAATAAATTTTTAATTTGCGACTTTCTGACTTTCTTCACAATTTATTCCATGTTTGCTTGATCGCTTTCCAAACAGATATATTTCTGAATGATTCCAGATTGGTTCAATTCCTCCAATAATTTTTTTGACATTAATTTCAAACCAGATCTAAACACTAGCGGTAAAGCATAAATCTCTTGAAATAAAATTCTGCTGATTGCCGATTCCGCGCCTAAATCTGCGCTTTCGAAACACCTGGATAATTCACCATAACTCTCACACCAAATGAGCAAACGATCAAGAGCCACTTTTAGGAGTTCCTTAAAATGCCTTGGGTTTCGTTAAAATTCGTTCATCTTCAGGTACAGACTGCATAGCACCATACCTTCAAACAAGCTGGCCAAAGAATTCTTCGGTCCCGAAATGCCCGATTTGGATGTTCTTGCTTACAACACCAGCTTGCAGCTGGTTAACAGTCATTTTAGTGTGAATAATGCCAGACCTCTAGTGCCAAATGTTGTGGAAGTTGGTGGGCTGCACGTAGGCGAACCACGCCCCTTGAGCAAGGTTGTCCGCAAAAAACCGTCCGTCTTTAAATTATTTCAGCGTCTTTTTATAGCACTTTGATGATGTTCTGGCTGCAGATAAACGCGGCGTCATCTGCTTCACCATGGGTTCTGTAGTTGTCATAGAATCATTGCCCAGAGGAAAATTGGAGGCCCTCCTCAATGCCTTGGCCGAGCTTCCTTACACGGTAATAATGAAGGCAAATGTGCAGAAATTTCCCAAAGACATCGCGGCCCCCAAAAACATTGTCTTTGAACCGTGGATCCCTCAGCTGGACATTTTGTGTAAGCCACCACACCTA